AGCAGATGGCGTAATGGCCATGTCGCTGGACTCCCATGTAGTCAACCACTTTTCAAGTCCTCAACCTGGTGGCTTAAATTCACGCCAGACACAAGTGCGTGCGTGCCCAAGATCCTGAGAGGAGAATGGAGGAGGAGGGATTGCAGCGTGGCCACTCCCCAGGGGGTGATTTCTTGCTTTCTGTCTCTCTGTCTCTCTCTGTCTTTCTGGCAAGTGCACGTGCCCTATAGCGAAAATCTCTCAAAAAAAAAAATCATATATAGCAGGACCAGCAGTTAGTATAATGGCTATGTCGCTGAATTCTCATGTAGTTGACCACGGTTCAAGTCCCAAACCTGTGGCTTAAACTCACACCGGGCGAGCGCACACACCCTATAGCAAAAAACCCTCCAAAAATAAAAACATGTACCTAGAGAGGGCCAGCTCACCATGGTTAAGGTGCTGGATGCTACATGGCCGCTTGTGCAGATCAAGTCTTGGACTTGGCAGCTTGAGAAACACGCCGGGCACGTGCGCATCGTGCTCAGAATCGGGAAGGGGTGGGGTGCTCTCTCCTCTCTCTCTCTGCCTCCAGTGTGTGTATGTGCCCTCTGGCAAATTTATATATATGGACACACAAACACACACACACGTACATAGAGTGAAGTAGGAGAAGATCCAATTACTAAACATGGGCTGTGAATTTTTTTTTAATGTTTTGTTTGTTTTGCTTTAGTTTTTGCTATAAGGAGTGTGGGGGATGGCCACACCACAGTCCCTCCTCCTTCAGTCTCCTCTCGAGATTTTGGGCACACACACACACACACACACACACACACACACGCGTGCCCGGCTTGCAGGTCTAGGAATCAAACTGCAAAGTTGGCCATGTACGATCCAGTGCCTTAACTTCCACGCCACCTGCTGGCCCAAAGCTTGTGAATTCTTCGTAGTAGTGGCCCTTGGTCTGTGGTTCGTGCATGGCCTGGCCTTGATAGTTGTTGGGGAACAATGCATGTACTTTGTAAAACCTCACCCGCCAGTGGCAATGCCAAGCTAGAGAACCCAGGAAAGGAGCAGTTCTGGGAAAAAGGTGATGAGTTACGGCATTTGGACCTTCACACCTGAGATGTCTGTGGGATCACCTTCAGGCAGTTGGTGCGGTGGCTATAGAGATTTCTGAAAACTGTAGCTGTGCTAAGAACCGGTTCTTTTTTTTTTTTTATAATTACTTTATTTAACTTTATTTATTTGTTTGTTTACTTATTTATTTTGTTTAATTTGAGCAGAAAGGGACAACGAG